GAGTTCTTATCTTTATATGAAGTGTCTCAGGTGATTCCCTAAGACGTCTGGAAAACACTGAAATAAGTGAAAGTTTCGGCTCCATGAAGATGCTCAGCCCGAATTAAACACAGCCATTTAACTGTTCTGCTTTAAACATTTAAATTACCCCATGCTTTAATGAAAGCAAGAAATTTCAGTCTTGCTTGTTAAAAAACAAAAAGGAAACAACTGTTTTAGAAATGCTGGAGGGACTGAAAAACAGATATAAACAATTTTTAAGTGGCAGTGAGGTAACAGCAGACATTAAATTCAAAAGATGTTTGAAAAGCAGTCAATAATTCATTTTTAAAAGAGTAATTGTAGTATTTACTTAACATTTTCATTTCGCCAGTTCACAAAATTGATGGAAATCATTTTTAAAAATGGGGCCTGAAAAATTGGGATATATCATTAATTTTCTTAAAATGTTTTGTTTTTATTAAATGGATATACAAATGGCAATCCACTCCAGTGTTCTTACTGGGATGATTATCCCAGTGGACAGAGGAGCCTGGTGGGCTACAGTCCATGGGGTCACAGAGAGTCAGACATAACTGAGTGACTGAGGATGAACATGCACTTTAAAAACCCAAATCATACAGAAAAGTACAAAAAGAAATAATAACCATTCAAGATCTCACAATCTTAACTCTTTTGGTAAACATCCTTCCAGACATCTCCATAAAAAAAATACACATGTACAATTTTACAAAAAAATGGATTCATACTGTTTCAAAAACTGTTTTTAAAAAATCCAATGTAAAATCATATGTTCAGTGTCTCTAAAGAAAACTCTGCATCCAAAATTGTAACAGTTCTATGGTATTCATTCTACTCATATACCAAAATTTACTCTGCACTTCAACTTCCTCAGCTGTAGAAGAGTATTAAAATAGATTGCAATCCATGTAAAGCACTTACAACATATAATAAACATTCAATAAATGTTAGCTACTGCTATCATTACATGTTGTCTTTCAATCTTTTATTATTCAAAGCAACACTGTGATAAACATCTTGTACTTTGATTTTTCTTTATTCTAGGTCAAAAGGTATATTTTCCATAAATTATTTTTCTTTTAAAATAAATTTTTTAATTTAATTTTTATTTTTCTTACTTTTGGCTGTACCAAGCAACTTAGTTCCTTGAAGAGAGAAAAAGTGAAAGTTCCTCAGTCGTGTCTGACTCTTTGCAGCCCCATGGACTGTAGCCCACCAAGTTCCTCTCTCCATGAAATTCTCCAGGCAAGAGTACTGGAGTAGCCCATTATACAGAGTGAAGTAAGCCAGAAAGATAAACACCAATACAGTACACTAACGCATATATATGGGATTTACAAAGATGGTAATCATGAGCCTATATGCAAGACAGAAAAAGAGACACAGATGTATAGAACAGACTTTTGGACGCTATGGAAGAAGGCAAGGGTGGGATGATTTGAGAGAATAGCATTGAAACATGTATATTATCAAGTGTGAAACAGATCACCAGTCCAGGTTGGATGCATGAGACAAGTGCTCAGGGCTGGTGCACTGCGATGACCCAGAGGGATTGGGTGGGGAGGGAGGCGGGAGGGGGGTTCAGGATGGGGAACACATGTAAATCCATGGCTGATTCATGTCAATGTATGGCAAAAACCACTACAATATTGTAAAGTAATTAGCCTCCAACTAATAAAAATAAAGAAAAAAAAAAAGAACACTGGAGTAGGTAGCCATTCTCTTCTCCAGAGGATCTTCCCAATGCAGATCAAACCTGGTCTCCTGAATTTCAGGCAGATTCTTTACTGTCTGAGCAACCAGGGAAGTCCATTAGTTCCCAGACCAGGGATCAAACCTGTGTCCCCTGCAGTGGAAGCCCAGAGACTTAACCACTGGACCACCAGGAAAGTCCGTTCATAAATTCCTAAAGAAATAGTCTAACTTAGTGTTTGACCGTTACTTTAGATTTTAGTAAAACAGACTGTTATGTGTTTGAAGTGAATCATGGTGCCACAAAGGTCAGTCAATAACAGATCAATCAATAACAGATCTATAAAAGTGTATCTCCAGTTATAGACAAGCAACATTTTCATGAAGCTCAATAGTAATTTTAGATCTTTGGTAAATAAAGTTTATATTGTTTTGAGTGCATTTCTAGCTTAACAGAAAACTTACTTCATGAGTTATTAAAATGATTCAATCTTTAAGAGACTTTCAACTCTAGATGACGTTACTATCACGTCAGGGGCCAATACAGGACAGCACCTAGTACTGTCAAACTGACACCTTAGATTACCTGCCCAAGATCTGCTCTGATAATATTACTGGGCGTGAATTACTTTGTAAAGCATGTGCTTCTTTGAGCGTGATTTTTTTTCCTTTGGTCCATTTTTAAAAAGCAAGAAAACACCAGTCTGAGGCATATCTATGACGCCTGGGAAACAAAAGCATCCATTGGTGAAAGATTCTAAAGGGACTGAGGAGAGACTACGAGCCTGTTCTTAGCTGACCCACTGAATCAGGCATTGTTGCTGATGGAGGCACAAATTCCAGGTTCAAGACTCTTTGACACAAGGGGCACCTCCTGGCCAAAGTTTCCCAGCTTAACACTGGAAGTGAATCATTGCTTTTCCAAACAGGATGCTACACTCATGATCACGCACCCACAAAGAACCTTAGATGTCTCTACTACTTGCTCATTGAGAACGAAGAGTGAGAGGGCCCACGTGAGACTGGAGTTTTATCAGTAATGATCTAAAGGCCACGTGAAACAAAGGGAACGCTAGACGTTTCCCCCAGAATCCAAGGAAGTACCTTGAAAGAAACAAGTCATAGGTCCATCTTTGTTTCCTTCACTTTTCCCAGGGAGGCCAGAATCTACTAGAATTTTCTTCTCTGTCTTTAAATTTTTAGTTCCTTCTTCATAGCGTGGGCTTCCCTGGTGGCTCAGAGGTTAAAGCAACTGCCTCCAATGAGGGAGACCCCGGTTCGATCCCTGAGTCGGGAAGATACCCTGGAGAAGGAAATGGCAACCCACTCCAGTATTCTTGCCTGGAGAATCCCATGGACAGAGGAGCCTGGTAGACTACACTCCACGGGGTTGCAGAGTCGGACATGACTGAGCGACATTCACTTCACTTCTTCATAGTGTAGTATAAAGAAAATAAGGGATGACAATATCTCATGATGAAGCAGCTAAATTACACAGTGTGTGTGTGCTCAGTCATCTCCGACTCCTTAACATAATCGCTTCCCTGGAGGCTCAGTGGTAAAGAATCCACCTGCCAATGCAGGAGACGAGGGAGATCCCTGGGTTGGGAAGGTCCCCTGGAGAAGGAAATGTCAACCCACTCCAGGACGGAGCAACCTGGTGGGCTGCAGTCTATGGGGTCGCAAGGAGTCTGAAATGATTCAGCAGCTGAACAAACAACAACTTCCTAACAGAAAATGTTAATCAGCACTGTAGGAGGTTATCTTTTGATTGAAATATGGGGCATTGTACTCATGAAGAAGTTTCTATTTAACGCTTTGTCATTCATGAAGAAAGATGAAGTGTGTTAAAAAAAAAAATCCAAGGACATATTTTCCCCAGGTTGAGGATATTTGGCTCTCAATCTCCGGTCAAAGAAAGTTTCCAAAGGGCTTTTGTTAAAGAGTGCACACACACACACACACACACACACACACACAATTCCCTCCCAATCCTAACCCTTCTTCTACCCAAACGTAACCTAATAATTACCACCTACTCCCCCTTTCTAGGATTAATTCTCCTCTTACGAGCAACTCAAGACCCTTATTTGAGGTGAGCTTTCTACTTGCAGCGTTCAGTGGGAAAAGATGGGGAAGGAGAAGCCTTGCTTAAGTGGTCCTCAGTTGGCGGGGGTCAGGGGTCAGGGAAGGGTAAGAGGGTGGCCAGAAAAACCACCTCTGTAGGAAAATAGGAGCAAAAGCCGCCAGACCTTTTCCCTAGAGGCAACATTCCAGGGTGGCTAGTCCCACCAAAATGAAACAGGGAATGCAATGGCTGTTAGAAAATATTTTGAAAGAAGGCATCTGATCTACGTTTATCGAGTCGTACTTCTTTCTTTTAATAGCACAAAGCGCACAGGCCCTAGCAGCGCGCACACGCTCCTCTGCTTCGCAGCCCCGCGCATCCGCGCCCCGCGCTCGGCTCTGCACAACTTGCGGCCAGCCGGCAGGCCCTTCTTCCTGCAAGATGGCTCCTCCACGATGACCCTTCCGAGGAATCAGCCCGAGGTGCCACCTACGCGTTCAGAGACGGCCCGCGGGCCTCGGTCCTCACCACGGACCCGAGGCCGGACTCGGTCGGATGCGCGACCCCACGCGTGATGTCTTTTTGACTCCCCAGACCTCGACTCATTTCATCCCCTTCCTCCCACGCCCCTTTCCCTTGCGTTTCCTTCCCGCTGGTAAAGCGCGGTGGAACGCCAGGCTTCCTTCCGTCCCCCGAGCGCGCGGAGCGGCGCTGCAGCCCCGGCGGGCGACAGGGTCACGGCGCCGGGCGTGCGGGGGAGGACTCGGGGAGGCGCCTTCCCGGCTCCCGAGACCCACCACCTCCTGCCCTCCCTGAAAGCCGGAGCGCGGCGGCGGGGGTCCCGCGGGCGGAAGTGAGAAGCCGGGCGTGGGAGGAGGCTGCGGCTGGGGGCTGGGATCCCCTCCCGGCTGACGGCCCGGGACGACCCGAGCGGGCAGCGCGCGCCGCCCCGGCCTTTTTTGGCGCGGACGGAGGCCGGAGGGCCGGGGAGGCGGGGGCGGGGGCGGGGGGGGGCCCGAAGCCGAGCCACCGCCCCCGGGACCGGGAGGAGGGGCCACCTCGGCCCGGAGAGGCTGGGCGGGCGCGGGCGGCCCCGCACCGCCGCCGCCGCCGCCTCCCCGCGCTCCGCGGCCACCCCGGAACCCGGCGAGCGCGCGCGGGGGCGGGAGGCGAGCGCGCAGAGCTGGCGGGAGCCCCCGCCGCCCCGGGCCCCCCGGCCATGTCGGCCGACGAGATGGTGCAGATTCGCCTGGAGGACCGCTGCTACCCGGTGAGCAAGCGAAAGCTCATCGAGCAGAGCGACTACTTCCGCGCCCTCTACCGCTCCGGCATGCGCGAGGCCTTGAGCCCGGAGGCCGGCGGCCCCGAGGTGCAGCAGCTGCGCGGCCTCAGCGCCCCGGGCCTGCGCCTGGTGCTGGACTTCATCAACGCGGGCGGCGCCCGCGAGGGCTGGCTGCTGGGCCGGCGCGGGGAGCCGGGCGGCGGGGCCGAGGAGGAGGAGGAGGACATGGACGAGGCGAGCCTGCTGTCCGAGCTGGTGGAGGCGGCCTCCTTCCTGCAGGTCACGTCCCTGCTGCAGCTGCTGCTGTCCCAGGTGCGGCTCACCAACTGCCTGGAGCTGTACCGCCTGGCGCAGGTGTACGGGCTGCCCGACCTGCAGGAGGCCTGCCTGCGCTTCATGGCCGTCCACTTCCACGAGGTGCTGTGCAAGCCCCAGTTCCACCTCCTGGGCTCGTCTCCTCCGGCCCCCGGGGATGTCAGCCTGAAGCAGAGGCTGCGAGAGGCCCGGATGACCGGGACCCCCGTCCTCGTGGCGCTGGGGGACTTCCTGGGGGGCCCCCTGGCCCCTCACCCCTACCAAGGGGAGCCCCCGTCCATGCTCAGGTACGAGGAGATGACGGAGCGCTGGTTCCCGCTGGCCAACAACCTTCCTCCCGACCTGGTGAACGTCAGGGGGTACGGGGCTGCCATCCTGGACAACTACCTCTTCATCGTGGGCGGGTACAGGATCACCAGCCAGGAGATCTCCGCGGCGCATTCCTACAACCCCAGCACCAACGAGTGGCTGCAGGTGGCCTCCATGAACCAGAAGAGGTAAGCACCAGCCGGCCACTGCCTTCCCGCGCATCCGCCTGTGCCGGAAGCCCTACCCCTCACGTTGACTCCACTGGAGTCAACAGCAGCCGCTAGAGGTGGTTCTGAGATGGGAATGGTTTGCTCGGGAGCGGTGTTGGCCTTGAGTCTGGCCAAGTTCCCAATGAACTAAGAAATTGCAGAGAAGCAGAGGCCCCCAAGGAGGTCAGCCCGCTGAGTGATTTTCCTAGCAAGTATTTTGCCTTCAGACGAATTGCCTTTTTTGGGTTTTCCTAGAAGGGTACTTCCAAAGAAAACTTTCTTTAATTTTGCTTTTATTTTTATTTTCTTTTAGGAACTAATCCTGATTATAATGACACACGGGGCAGTAACCTGTAACACTGACTTTGGATGTTCTTGTTGATGACTTTGAAGCTTACCAATCTGTGATCAGAAAATAATCATTAGACTTCTACTAATGTTAGCTGTCCAGGATTGCCTTCCTTGTTTTTTATTCTCTTTTGCGTCTCACTTTTCTTCCCAGACAGTCTTCATCATGGACCCAAGACTTGAGCCTGGCATTGGTCACCTGCAGCATTAGAACATGGTCATCCACCCCAACCTTCTCCCTTTCCATCCTGCAAATCCCTCTCAACATGCACTTGGGTGACTTGAAGAAAGGAAAAGGAAGAAGTCAGGGGCAGGAAGAGGGAACCGAGTCAGGGATGGAATAGGAAAACAAGAGCAAAGAGCATTACAGGAAGAAGTGGTAGGAAAAAAAACAACAACAAGAAATGATGGCAGAACCCAAGATGGCCCAGAGCCATTCAGAAGTGGGGAGAAGAATCAATGTAACCCAAGAAAGGACAGGCATGCCCTTTCTTCTGGCCCATCTGTGTCCATCTCAAGCCCCACCCCCCCCCCACCATGGTTCCTTCCCTGAAGTGTGGAACAAGGAGTTGGGGGACTCACAACTACGCAAAGAAAGTCTTAACAAGAATGAAAAGGTCATTACACAGATTTACTTGACTTAAGGTGCCCTGCTAGGCTGAGTGGGGGAGGGTACACTTGCTTTATTTCTACTATAATACAAAATTCAATTTGGAACGTGTTGTTTGGTTTCTCATGGTAAAAAATGCATAGTTGTTCTAGCAAAGCATGGTTAAAGGGCAAAGAATGAACAAGCAGAAAGACTGTCACTTTTCTCACCCAAGTACTAAGCAGGCCTGACCCTGCTTAGCTTCCAAGATCAGACGTGTTCAGGGTAGTATGGCCATAGACAGAAAGATCATTACTACTACTTCCTCCTTGCAAGAGGTGATAACCATCTACAGGTTGGCATATTTTCCTCTGTCCCCTCTCTAGTGCATTATTTACACTGCTGTATTGAAAATCTGATATCACAGTGTTACTTTTAAATGTATACAGTGTTTATACAGTGTAAACTGTTTATACAGTGTACACAGTGTTACTTTTAAATGGGTCTTAGAAAATGGATTCTAAGAGTTTTTTTGGAAGCAAACAAGGAGCATGCAGTGGTGATAGACGATGCCGAGATCGGGGTAGAAGGCCCAGCAGGTTGGCATCTCTGTTCCATATCTCCTGCTGTACATTTGGTGCTCAGCACACAAACCCAGCTCCACAACTCTTAACACAGCACCTCACAAGATTCTTTTTTCTCTCCGAATCCCTGGTAGTCCTTCCCTCCACCCCTGCGGGAACTCCTTACTGTCCTCTTTAGGGAGAAAAAAAAAAAGTATTCCAGTAATGCATGAATACATGCTTAGAAAAATTGCAACTGACATTGAAAAACCACAGAGTAAAAAATATGTGTATCTATAGACATATTAATGTAAATATACAAATACACAATGTACATCACAAATGTATATTTATAAATACAGTAATGGTTTACAGGGGAAGATATATATGTATGCATTTACATGTTGGGGTGTATATGCATCTTATACATATTTTTACTGCAAAATTGTTTAGCTTATGCTGATTATTATGGCCCTTGGTATTTCCACTCTGAGATTTCTTTCTGTATCAGCAAATGTAGACCCATCTCTCTCTTGTTAATGGCTGTGTAGTATTCCAGCCTATGGATGCACAGTACTATAATCAGTTCTTCCCTTTTCATGAGCATTTAGGTCACTTCCATTTGCCATTATAAAAATCCCATATTGAACATCTTCAAATATGTGTGCCTATCTTAGTTGGTATACGTTAGCTCTATATGGCAAATGCCTGGAATCCCTGGATAGATGGAACAAAGTATACATGCATTTTGAAGTTTGGTAGCTCCTGCCAAATTTCTCATCAAAAATTGATCTAATTGCCTCTCTTAGCAACAGTGTTTCGGCTTGCCAGTTTTGTAAATTCTTGCCAAGATAAGACATTATGAACATTTTTTTATCTTTACCATTATAATGGACAAAAACACTGGTGTGAATGTCTCTGCTTGGAAGAGAGATTGTTTCATATGTATTGGCCATGTGTGTATATCTTTTATAAATGGCCTTTCCCAGTTTTTAAAAAATTGGCTTATCTTTTTTGTATTCATTTTAGAAATTCTCTTATGTAGATAATAACTCTTATCTGTTAGGTAATGTTGCATAGGTTTTTCATCTGCCCTTTTTTTTAAATCATAAAGGTCAAAAATGAAATGCCAGAAGTGACCAGGCAGGTAGAGCCAGTGAGTAGAGGGGTTTGGAAGCGTTTATGATGAACTGCAGTTACTAACCCACCGCAAGAGGGCGCCACATCGCGACCACAGCTGTTACCTGCCATCAGTTCAGTTCAGTCGCTCATTTGACTCTTCGCGACCCCATGAACCGCAGCACGCCAGGTCTCCCTGTCCATCACCAACTCCCGGAGTCCACCCAAACCCATCCATCGAATCGATGATGCCATCCAACCATCTCATCCTCTGTCGTCCCCTTCTCCTCCTGCCCCCAATCCCTCCCAGCATCAGTTATTGCCATAGGTGTGAGGAATGGTGTCGCCAGACATTGCAATTTTTAAATGCTGGCACCGTACTCCATTTAAAAAACAAGCAAGTCGACAACAACAAGAACTGGCCTTGTGAGCCTCCAGTTTGGGGCTTTATGTTTATAGGGTATTTTTATAGGAAAGGGGACTTCTCTGGTGGCTCAGATGGTAAAGCGTCTGCCTACAATGCGGGAGACCCAGGTTCAGTCCCTGGGTAGGGAAGATCTCCTGGAGAAGGAAATGGCAACCCACTCCAGTATTCTTGCCTGGAAAATCCCATGGAAGGAGGAGCCTGGTAGGTTATAGTCCATGGGGTTGCAAAGAGTCGGACACGACTGAGCAACTTCACTTTCTTGTATAGGAAAAGCGTTTCAATATTTCGTAGTCAGTTTTGTCGTCTGGGTCCTATGAGCTTTTTATCTTGCATAGGAAAGGCATTCTACAAGGAAGGCTTCTAGTAGGAGAGCCCGCATCTGGCTCGTGTTCTGTTACTTTTATGGTTTTGCCATTTTACATTTACATCTGAATCTTTTGGGGATTTTAGGTTATAACATGTTTCCTGAATGTTCAGTAGTCTTGGCTCTTCACTGTGATTTGCTAAACCAGTTATCTTATGCTAATTTCCCTGTTTCTCAGCCGGCAGTTTAGCCATTCCTGTATTAATAACACATTTTAAAATTTTTGTAGCTTGGGAACCTATTTTATTGTCTTATAGCACAGAGACCCATTTGTTCTGTTTTATTTTAATTCTCTTGGTTATTCTTGATACATTTTCTCCTTCAGATATACTTTAGAATCTTCTTGTCAAGTCCTGTTAGAATTTTGATTGGAATTATATTGTATCATAGGTTAATTTGAAGGAGGATTCACAGTTCTCTGATACTTTGCAGATGGAAAAATGGTTTGTTTTTCAACGTATTTTGGGGGTTTTTTCTTCCTTCAGAAAAGGTTTCTTTTATTATCTTTGGTCTGTTTTTTTTTGGGGGGGCGTTGCTGTTGTTATAATTATTCTTAGGTATTTTCAAGTTATTGTTATTCTTTCTACACAGATACCTTTTTTCATTATATTTTTAGAATTGGGTGCCATATGGGAATTTTAACCTTCTTTTCTCCTTCATACTTTGTCTCAGATCTGACATAATCTCAACCAGGATTCCATCCCCGAACCCTCAACTAGACTAAATGATGAAATGCCATGCTTTCTTTTCTAGCATACACCTCACCCTGAATTGAAATCTTCTGTTTTTGTTTTTTCCTTTCTCTTCTGATTGGGACCTATTGCTTATTCCATGCTTATGTACATTCATACTGGTAACATGGTGAGCAATAAATGCTTTAAATGCATGGCTTTTTTGAACTGTGGAGTATATTTTACATTATTGTAATAAAAGTGAATGTATGTTTTTGTTCTTCATAAAAATGTAACATTACAGTGAATATTTTTATTTTTTAAGTCATTATAATCATTTTAGTTAATTAGAATCACTGAAAAATAATAGTAAGTAACATTTAATCGAACATTTATTCTTTACTAGGTACTGTCCCTACTGCTTTGCATGTATCATCTCACTCTTCTCAAGGATTATATTAGGTCCCCATTTTACGGAGGCAGAGACTGAGGTACAGAAATTAAATTGCTCAAGGTGTGTAAAAAGTGGAGTAGTGAAAGTGTTAGTGTTCAGTCATGTCTGACTCTTTGCGACCCCATGGACTATAGTCCTCCAGTCTTCTCTGAGCATGGGATTTTCCAGGCAAGAATACTGGAGTGGGTCGCCATTTCCTTCTTCATGGGATCTTCCCAACCCAGGGACTGAACATAGGTCTCCGACTTTGCAGGCAGAAAGCCCTACTTGGGGAAGCCCTACTTGGAGCTTGGTTACTCTACTTTTTAAAAAATTGGTCAAGGTGTGTAAAAAGTAGGGTAACCAAAGTTTAAATATTCATTGACTCAATATAACTGTTTGGAGCATTTACAAGTTTTGGCTTAATGACTGACAGTGACTGTCTTCATGCAACCCTTTAACTTT